GATTATACAGGGTGGCGCGTCATATACGACGCGGTTTTTGCAAGGAGAACAAAAGTTTGTATTGAAGTGAAATTTTCTGAGCTTATGTAAGTCAATTTAAAGTATCTTCTAAATATATGTAGAGTTCTACAGGGTGTCCCCAAAAAAGTTACACATCAAAGTTATGTTTTTTGTTTTTGGGAACACCATATATATTAATTGATTTTTGGATTCTAGTAAAAAAAATAAAGGTTGGTTTCATTAGAAAAGTATATGACTAAAATGTATAGTTTTTGAAATACACTCACCGGCACGAAAAATGTGCACCTTAAAACTTTGATGTATTTTAACGGTTAATATATTTTATTTTAATGGGCCGATGTTGATGATTTTTTAAGCAGTGTGTTGCCAAATTATTTGACTTCTTAGTATCTTTTTCTAAATTAAAAATGAAACTCCCCATCTGTTAATTATACGAGGGAAAACAAAATGTTAATATTTTTGATGAAAGTTTGAAACACCCTGTGAAATATGTTAAAACAGCAAGAAATTTATAAATTATTTTTTCATCTAGATACATCCTTTCTCGATGATTTGTTTTTTGGTTCATCTCATTAGCTTTATTTTTGTTGGAAATATTTGGTTTTAAAGAAGGCACTAATATTCTTCGTAACTTTTACATTAAGACCATGTCTTTGCTTTTGGACCTAGTCAACACATCTAGTAAGTTCTGGTCCCGAAGCAGGCCTTCTTGACATTGAAGATTTGCTTCATTTAATATTTTTCTTGTAGTCCGTTAGTTAATATGTACGTTCCTTAAGTGCAATTCATTATCAATTTGAAAAGCTGGCAAACGGCGGTTTCTTAGCGATAAACTTACAATAAGTCGATCGTCTTGATAAGAAGTTCTCTCGACTCACTCTGTATATCTATAAAAATATTTTTGAAATGTGAACTACCATTAAACATACATTTTGTAAAAGGTTTGGAGTGAAAATCTCAAATAGGAGTTTTTCCGGAAAACGGAGCCCTTTTGTATGTAAATACTAAAGTGAAAGCAACGAATTTAAATAGGTAAACTTTATAATATATCTTATTAACAATACAATGCAAAAAGTTTTATAAAAATTGGTTCACAGTAAATGAATTCCGAGGTTTGTATCTCATAAGGACTTAAAGCACTCCACTAAATAGTAATAAGTGAAAAAAACTTGATTTTGGTCGGGAAATTTTTTGGAAATTTTGCTTTTGAATGTCTACCAAACCCTTCAGTTCTAAGAAATCAAAGTTTTAATTTCTCACCACAATTTTTTTTGACGGATGATAATCAAGGACCAAAATAAAACACTAAATTCACCACAATAGACAATAGAGAAAATTACTTCCACTAATTTGGACGTTCTGAATGCTTTCATTGAAATAAAAGGAACAAACTTCAACGCTAATTGAAACCACTAATTTATTACACTAATTTCGAGGTTCTCAATGAAGCTTAAATATTAATTGAATTACTTTTCAAATGTAAAACGAGAATTCAGCAAATTTAAATTGTGTTCTCTTTTCCAGGGTGGTTATTATACGGAGATGCATGAACAGTACTTTTTACATGATGATCGCCTGTCTCTGTTACGATTTCTTGTGCGAGATTAGAGATCCGGATATTACGAAGAGACCGCATATAATTCTTCATCCTTTACCTGGTACGCCTATCATCTCCATTAACATAGCAATAAACCTCTTGATGATAGGCTGGTTGGCAGCCATCATTAATATACACAAGGATATTCTAACGTAAGTAAAATAGAAAAGTAAAGTACAGTCTGTTGCATCGCCTACCTGAACATAGGAAATTTTAGAAATGATGCGTAAGTTACCTTACATTTTTCTGTAAAATAAAATGGGGAAAACTTATTCATCTTTTTTAAAATTTACATGTGATTTCCTACGTTGAGATCGACGATGCAACGCAGGGTATATTCAGGGCAGTGGGGCAAGTGGTTATGTAATGGTTATGTTTCTGGTAGGCCCTAAATTAACTCACTAAATTTTGGTGTGTATTTCCCTTACTATTTGGCTATTTTCTATTCCTCATTATGCACCCCCTTTTGGTCAGAATTCAAAATTTAGTATTGATTGATAATAATTGATTTTTTTTTAATTTCAGGTGTGAGGACGAATTGAGGGCAAAAAGAGGTAATAAGAAATATATTTTTAAAGTTTTAAATTTCTAATCCAGGGTTAAGTGGTGTATAGGGTGTCCCATTTTAGTTGAAATCATACGGTATCTCCGTTATTAGTGAGAGGGTCCATTACTTCATGGGTCCATTGCATTGGTTCCAATTCATTGATGAGAAATAATAATTTAACAAAATTCTAATATTTTCAAAGTTGTGAGGGGGAGCCCCATCTTGCTGACAGTATATTTCACGTAAATTAGCTAAAGGTGTATTTAAAAGTTCCGGTACGATAGCTTCCAAGATTTACAAATAGCGGTTAGAGTTAAGTCTCTCTAATATACAGGGTGGTCCGAACTGTATTCCGGAAACTTCAGCAGCATATTCTGCAGGTAATAATAAGTAAAAAATTCGTATAAATGTATGTCCTAAAATGCTTAGTTCCGGAGATACAGGGTGTAGAAGTTTCATTTTTATTTCGATTTTTTCGATATTGTCAATATTTGGATGAAAAATGGCGTCTGGAAGTTTTTTGACATAAGAAATTTTATTTTGAGGCTTTTTAACTCCTATTGGTAGAGGGCGCTATCTACATGTGTTTTAACTATTTTGAAGCGTAATAACTTTTCGTCCGTACCTGTATATAACTACTGAGTGAAAAAAATATACATTTCCGTGATTCTCTACGTAAATGTATATTTTTTTACTCAATAATTTTATACAGGTACTGACAAAAAGTTATTAGTTTTCAAACCAGTTAAGCAATATGCAGATGGCGCTCTCTACAAGTAGGAGTCATATTGACATCAAAATCAAATTTCTCATTTCAAAAAACTCCCAGACACCAATTTTTATCCAAACATTGATATTACTTCAGAAATTATTCGGAAATGGAAAAAATCGAAATAAAAATGAAACTTTTACACCCTGTATCTCCGAAACTAAGCACGTTAGGACATACATTTATACGAACTTTTTTACTTATTTTTATTTGCAAAATATGCTGTTGAAGCTTCCGGAATACAGTTCGGACCACCCTGTATAAGTGGCTCCCAAGAGAGTGGCTCCCAAAATAAAACAAGAGACAGATAGCAGTATACTTTTAATATTTTTTTAGTTTCTTTTATTATCAATTATGGCCTAATATGATCTTTTAATAAAAACTTTTAAATATTGCAGTAAATACTGAAAATAAATATAGAGTGATATATATTTTTGGGAAGCTTATGACAAGCCAGATCATATAATTTATAAATATACGAAGAGGGCAATGCAAATTTTGTTGACGGCATTTTCCATTAGACAAAAAAGTGTGGGAGGTTTGAGCAAACCGCACCCTTCTATCTTCACTAATAACGGATATACCGTATGATTTCAACCAAAATGGTACCCTGTACATAGGTTTCCAACAATGCAACTAATCTCAAGTCGGCAGGCTGGTAACAAACAGCCTGTGATTATAGAATAAAGATAAAAAATATGTTTTCTTCTGACTTTTTTTCTGATGTCTTTTTACAGCCGAGAAACGCAGGGAAGCCAAGGAAAAGGCTCGACGCAGAGCGGAGAAGAGAGAGGCTCGTGCCAACGCTCCTCCATGGCAGTTCATGCCAAATCCAGAACGCGAGCTGGCGCCCAGAGGAGGCCTGCATAGACGCAAAAGAAGGCGGTAAACTAATTCTTCC